GCGTCGGGGTGTACTGATAGCTTTCAAACGCAATCTCCCTTTTGTCTGTGCTAGGAATATAGCGGACCCCACGGGTAGATATTTGCTTCTGCAAGGCACCCTTTGGGACCAGGAGGTTACTTTTGTCTCTTACTACACGCCTAATCGTTTTCAGCATAAATTCTTTTTGCATCTTTGCACCATTGTTTCCTGACACTCCAAGGGTCTTCTTCTTGTTTTGGGAGATTCAAATGTTACCTTGGATTCTACATTGGATAGGCGCTACGCACGACTTAGTGCTGGAGGAACGTATGCGCTCTCTCTTGCGGACGGTGGGGCTGGCAGATGTCTGGAGGGAACTTCACCCAACCGAGCGTGACTTTACATTCTATTCCAATCCTCATGACAGTTTCTGTAGAATTGACCATATATTCATGCATGTTTAGCAGCTTCACTTGGGTTCGACGGATAACTATTCCCTCCTCACCCTGGTCGGACCATGATCCCTTGGTACTCTTCCTGGCCCTTTTTGGGTCAGAACGGCGCCCTTTTCATTGGCACATCAATGACTCTTTATTGACCACTCAGACTACCTGCCAACAAATAGAATTTTTCTTACGAACATATTTTGCGGAAAACTCGGGGTCGGTCTCTTCAGCTGTGCCCCTATGGGAGGCGCATAAGGCCACGGTGCGGGGTCATGTTATGCAGCTGGCGGCGGTATGAATGGAAACGGGAGCAGGAGCGCCGACTTTTGGAGTTTCATTCTCTTCTGGCCTCTGCAGATGCGCGTTGGAAGTCATCTCCATCCGCTGCCCATAAACGCGCTCGGGACGTTCTGGAGGCAGAGTTGGACCTACTTGCCTCTTCGGAGGCGGAACCGGCCCTGCGTTGGATAAACACAAATTTTATTCCTGTGCTAATAAGCCGGGCCCGATGCTAGCCAGGAAGCTCAATTCTGTGGGGAAAACCCACAAACCGATTCGACTGCTGCGACTTCCTACAGGTGGTTGTACTTCTAATTCCCAGCAGATTGTTTCCCGTTTCTCGGACTTTTGCGTCTCTACGCTAAACCAGATCCCTTCCCCGTGGCTCAAGCAGAGGTATTCTTTCAAGATCTCCGACTTCCTAGGTTATCCGAGGCAGCATAGGTGGCCCTCAATGCCGGTGTCACCGTACCGGAAGTGCTCCAAGCTATCAAATCTTTACGGTCTACGTGGCCCCAGGTCCCGACGGCTTTTCCGGTCTATATTATAAGAAAATTTTCAACCCTGTTGGCGCCCTTTTTGTCTGACTATTTTAATGAGCTACGACAGGGGCCTTGCCCTCTCCAGACGCGCTTAGAGCGCATATTGCCATGATTCCTAAGACGTCCGTTGATGTACAGGAACATCACGCCTTCCGGCTCATTTCTCTTCTTAATGAAGACCTGAAGATACTGGGCAAGATCCTTAGTTTTCGCATCAACAAATATTTGCGTAGCCTGGTCCACAGGGACCAGGTAGGGTTCGTCCCTGGGAGGCAGGCGGGTGATAATGTTCGTAAGGTGGTCCATCTTATACATTTTCTGCAACAGTGGAGAATCACGGGATTTTTACTGTCTTTAGACATATATAAAGCCTTTGATTCCCTGTCCTGGGAATATCTGCGGTTTGTGCTGTCTCATTGGGGTTTTGGGGATTCTATTCTTTCCTGGATTCAGGCCTTGTATTCTTCCCCTTCGGCCTCCGTTAAATACGCTGGCTATATTTCAGATCCTTTTCCTATTGGGCGAGGGACGAGACAGGGTTGCCCCCTGTCCCCAGCGCTCTTTGCCCTGGCGCTTGAGCCGCTGGCTTTAGCGCTTCGGACCGATTGCAATGTATCGGGGGTTCCTTACGCGGGACAGGAATTCAAGCTGAACCTTTTTGCGGACGATGCCCTGCTGACTCTTACCTACCCCCTGACGTCGCTTCCTAATTTGCAACAGGTTCTTGAGCGCTTCTCCTTGATTTCAGGTCTCCGTATCAACTTGGATAAGACTGTCGCCCTCAATATTACTTTGGCTTCAGATTTGGTTTCGCGCGCTTACAATTCCACTTCCCTTACAAATGTGCTTCCTCTTCTCTTGAATACTTAGGCATTTGCTTGACCCCCACTTATGACTCCTTGTTTGCTGCGAATTATTATCCATTGCTTAGCTCTCTATCCTTTCTTATGCATTTTTGGGCAATTTTCGCACCTGTCTTGGATAGGACGGGTTAATTCGGTGAAAATGACCATTTTGCCGAAATTGTATTATTTTCGCACCCTCCCAGTGCGGGTTCCCCCTCATTTTCTTCGTTTGCTTCAGGCGAAGTTTATGCATTTTATCTGGGCCAATAAGCACCCCAGAGTATCCAGAAATACGCTTTTTGCTCACAGACTCCAGGGTGGTCTTGGGGTGCCCAATGTAACCAATAATACGAGCTAGATTGCCCCGCTGTCTATGTTGCATGCCTCTTCCGACGCCCCCTCTGGGTCCTGTGGGAACTACCTAATTGTGCCCCTATCGCAACGTCGATGGCACTGAGTCCGATGTTACTTCATGGCTTACAAGTCTGGGACTCGGTACGTAACTCTGGTGGCCTGATGTCACCTTTTTTGCCTTTGCTCCCAATTATTAACAACCCTCTTTTCCCACCGGGTTTGGATCATCCGGGGGCGTTTTCTTGGTGGGTGACTAATGGTTTTTCGCAGGTGCGGCACTTTTTGATTTCTCGGTCCTTTCCCACCTGGAACTCTCTTCAGGAATCGCGGAATGTCCCCCCGGCGGAATTCTTTCGATACCTTCAATTGCGACACTAGCTGCTTTCTTTGCGGAGCACTTCTGCTTTCCCGTACCAGAAATCTGCCTTTGAACTGCTTTGCCAACAGCGTCCGGGTGCTCCGGGCCTTATATCCCTTCTTTATGCAGCTCTGAACAGACGCTCGTCGCATACTTCTCTTTCATATGTTGTTCAGTGGGAGGGCGATCTGGGAGTGGCTGTGGATCCGGAGGACTGGAATAAGGCTTGGTCATTCATAGCTAAATGCTCATTTAATACGACCACACTGGAGGCAGCCTATAACGTATTGTTTCGGTGGTATTGGGTTCCGGCTCGGTTGGCCCGGGCTAACCCTGCCTATAGTGATAAATGTTTTCGGGGTTGTGGCCATCATGGAGATGTCTTGCACATCTGGTGGTCATGCCCGAGACTGTTTTCGTTTTTGGTCTCGTGTGTTTGGCCTCCTTTTCACCTTGTTCCATCTCTCCATATGCGGGATACCTGGTATGTCTTGCTTCATTGCCCCATACCGGCCTCTTGGCTCACCAGCAGAAGTTGGCTTCTTACTTGTTTTTATCAGCCACTAGAACAATTGCCCAGGCCTGGAAGAGTCCGTTTGTCCCTCTTCAGGGGGTGCAGGATCGTATGACTACTATGATGCTCAACGAGCAGATGTCGAGTATCCGCAACAACTCCCACCGTACATTTTTGAAAATATGGGAGCCGTGGTTGCAATATGCCTTTCCCACACTCCCCCCGGCTAGCCTGGGGATGTAATGGCTGTCAGGAATGGACTTGCCAGTAATGGTGGGACTCACCTGCCTTGTGGGCTGCAGTACCAGGGCTGGCCAGCGGGTGCTCCCAGCAATCAGAGACTCAACCCTGCAGCCAGCCAAACACCTGAAGTTGATCATGCAGGTGTATTTAAGGGATGGCCATACCTGCAGTCTCTGCCTTGGTGTGTGTGGTTTTCCTGGGCCTTGTATCTTGTTCCTGCATTCCTGTTCCTGTCCCTGTCCCTGTCTGATTCGTTGCTGACCCTGCCTGATCCGGACCTCTGCTGACTTCTCCTGTTTTATCCCTGGCTTGTGACCCCGACCATTCTCTGCCTGACCCCCTGTACCTACCTGCCCGATTGTTATTGAACCAGCCTGCCTGACGACGCTTGCATTGTATGTACTGTTATCTGTGGGTGGTTGGTTTGGTTCGTTTGCACTGTGTTATGTTTTAGTATTGCACTGCGTTTATGTTTGTATTGTTAGTCTTTAATAAATTATATTGTTTATAACTTATCTGAAGCCTGCGTTTCCCTGCGTCAGTCACATACCTCTGGTCACACCCCGGAGCCCTGACATTACACCAAGGCCAATCCTGACCAGAAGTGGCTGCACAGGGAAGCCATCTTGGCTTGTTGCTGGGAAGGATGGATCTTGATGAGGTTGTGTATTTATCTCTGCTAGTGTTTGATGACAGAGAATATGCTTATCAGACTCTGAAGGAGATCCCAGGGATCAACTACTAGAATGTATATGGCTCGCTCATGTTCTAGTAGATCAGGGCACAGAATTCTCTGAGGTGCAGCCATTGATTCAGGTTTGTGCTGAGTTGGTTTCATCTGGTACCCCCGAATGCAGGGATGAATTTTTGCCGCCATTTAGTGCCGACCAGGTAGAGTCCCTGGTATGGTTATTAGAGGATGATGTGGATTACTTTCTGGAGCGTTATTCTGCATGTTCACCACAGATACTAAGAGATTGTATAAACGCAGTGCAGTCTTTGACCAGACAGGCTTTGTGTAAGCTGAGCTTTGTTCAACCCATACTGCAGACATGGTCAGACTTGTTGCACCCAGCCTCAGTCAGCTTACAACATCATTCCTCCACTCAAGGCACTCTTCCTGCATCCCCGACAGCACCCCCAGTGACTGCCCAGTATACTCTAACTACCACATACCAGTCCTCTGCTCCCACTCACTGCACCTATCCCTATCCTTTCTTTAACCCTGTAAAGAAGTCCTCTGCAGCAACTGCTCCCTCCTCTGTTCCATCTTCTAGCTCTTCTCTGTCCTCAGCTGCTCCATTCGTTTGCAGACCTGCGTTTACTTGCAGTGCCCCAGTAGTTAAAACCAGAAAAAAGCGGAAATTCTTTCCAACCAGTACCATCCTGCCAGTATCCAAACCGGTGAGCCTGCCGTCTGAGAACCTGCCTTCCGTGGTTCAGCCTGGTGCCTCGGCACCCGCACTTCAGCCTGATGTCTGTACCCAGCCTGATGTCTGTACCCAGCCTGATGAACTGATCCAGCCTGATGATCCTATCACACCTGATGACCCAGTGCCCGCTGTCGAGCCAGACGATCCGGTACCTGATGACCCGGTGCCCACTGTCATGCCTGGTGACCTGATGCCCGCTGTCGAGCCAGACGATCCAGTGCCAGATGACCCGGTGCCCGCTGTCGATCCAGACGATCCGGTACCTGATGACCCAGTGCCTGCTGTCATGCCTGGTGACCAGATGCCCGCTGTCGAGCCAGACGATCCAGCGCCAGATGACCCGGTGCCAGCTGTCGTGCCAATTGACTCAGAGTCCACTGTTGTGCCTGGTGACTCAGTGCCTACTGCCTTGCCAGATGACGCGGTGCCCGCTGTCGAGCCAAATGACCTGATGCCTGGTGACCCGATGCCCGCTGTCGAGCCAGACGATCCAATGTCTGACCCAGTGCCCGCGGTCATGCCTGGTGACTCGGAGCCCTCTGTCATACCTGGTGACCCGATGCCCGCTGTCGAGCCAGACAATCCAATGCCTGATGACCCAGTGCCCGCTGTCATGCCTGGTGACCCGATGCCCGCTGTCGAGCCAGACGATCCAGCGCCAGATGACCCGGTGCCTGCTGTCGAGCCAGACGATCCGGTACCTGATGACCCGGTGCCCGCTGTCGTGCCAATTGACTCAGAGCCCACTGTCGTGCCTGGTGACTTGGTGCCCACTGCCTTGCCAGATGACGCGGTGCCCACTGTCGAGCCAAATGACTTGATGCCTGGTGACCCGATGCCCACTGTCCAGCCAGACGATCCAATGTCTGACCCAGTGCCCGCGGTCATGCCAGTTGACTCGGAGCCCACTGTCATGCCTGGTGACTCGGTGCCCACTGCCTTGCCAGATGACGCGGTGCCCACTGGCGAGCCAAATGACCCGATGCCTGGTGACCCGATGCCCGTTGTCGTGCCTGATGACCCAATGCCCGCCGCTCCGCCTGGGGGCCCGGTGTCTGCCGCCCCTCCTGGGGGCCCGTTGCCTGCCGCCCGGCCTGAGGGGGCCCGCCGCCCGCCGCCGCTCCGCCTGGGGGCCTGGTGCCCGTCGCCCTGCCTGGGGGCCCGATGCCTGTCGCTCCGCCTGGGGGCCCGATGCCTGTCGCCCCCGCCTGGGGGCCCGGGGCCTGTCACCCCGCCTGGGGGCCGGTGCCCGCCGCTCCGCCTGGTGGCCCGGCGCCCACTGCCCCGCCTGGGGGCCTGGCGCCCGCCGCTCCGCCTGGGGGCCTGGTGCCCGTCGCCCTGCCTGGGGGCCCGATGCCTGTCGCTCCGCCTGGGGGCCCGATGCCTGTCGCCCCACCTGGGGGCCCGGCGCCCACCGCCCCCGCCTGGGGGCCCGGCTCCCGCTGCCCCGCCTGGGGGCCCGGTGCCTGTCGCCCCGCCTGGGGGCCCGGTGCCTGTCGCCCCGCCTGGGGGCCCGATGCCCGTTGCCCCGCCTGGGGGCCCGCGCCGGCGCGCCCCGCCTGGTGATCCGCTGTCCAGCTCGATGTGCCTCTGCCCGGAGTCCAGCTCGATGTGCCTCTGCCCGGAGTCCAGCTCGATGTGCCTCTGCCCGGAGTCCAGCTCGATGTGCCTCTGCCCGGAGTCCTGCCGGAGTCCTGCCCGATGTGCCGCTGCCGGGAGTCCTGCCCGATGTGCCGCTGCCGAGAGTCCTGCCCTGCCCGGAGTGTGCCGCTGCCCGGAGTCCTGCCCGGTGTGCCGCTGCCCGGAGTCCTGCCCGGTGTGCCGCTGCCCGGAGTCCAGCCCGATGTGCCGCTGCCCGGAGTCCTGCCCGATGTGCCAGTCTTTGATATCCCGCCAGTTACCAGACCCGGGCGGTGGAACATTTTGCCCAGCTAGGACTGTTTGGAGCGTCCTGAGGCCGCTCCTTGAGGGGGGGGTACTGTCAGGAATGGACTTGCCAGTAATGGTGGGACTCACCTGCCTTGTGGGCTGCAGTACCAGGGCTGGCCAGCGGGTGCTCCCAGCAATCAGAGACTCAACCCTGCAGCCAGCCAAACACCTGAAGTTGATCATGCAGGTGTATTTAAGGGATGGCCAGACCTGCAGTCTCTGCCGTGGTGTGTGTTTTTCCTGGGCCCTGTATCTTGTCCCTGTCCCTGTTCCTGTCTCTGTCTGATTCGTTGCTGACCCTGCCTGATCCGGACCTCTGCTGACTTCTCCTGTTTTATCCCTGGCTTGTGACCCCGACCATTCTCTGCCTGACCCCCTGTACCTACCTGCCCGATTGTTATTGACCCAGCCTGCCTGACGACGCTTGCATTGTATGTACTGTTATCTGTGGGTGGTTTGGTTTGGTTCGTTTGCACTGTGTTATGTTTTAGTATTGCACTGCGTTTATGTTTGTATTGTTAGTCTTTAATAAATTATATTGTTTATAACTTATCTGAAGCCTGCGTTTCCCTGCGTCAGTCACATACCTCTGGTCACGCCCCGGAGCCCTGACAATGGCGTTCGATACTGGCGCTCTTGGACCCCTGCTTTTTGGTGTGACTGGACAGCTGCCTTGTTAGTTGTTAGAGTCAGTTGCATTAATGTTTTGTACCTTATGTGCCATTGATAGCCCCTGCGTGGGCGTACCTTTTGCCCTGTTGGCGTTAGAGCACTGTTTTCTTTTTATTTTGCTTTTTTTTTTCTGTGCAATTGATAGCCCCTGTGTGGGCGAGTTTTATTGCCTCTGTTTTATAATGTTTAAAAATTAATAAAAACCATTGGAATATAAAATATATGCTGAAATGCGGTTTTTTATATATATTACACAATATATAAAAAAATTTTTTAAATATATATTTTTTAAATATATTCTTCAGATTTTTTTTAAATCTAAAAAGAGAGTAATTTTAACATATATTTGCAAATGCATTCCAAAAATGTAAATTTTTTTGCAGTATATTTGAAATGGATTTTATTATATTTTTCATATATTTTGTAATAAAAATTTCAGCATACAATATACATATATATTATATATATATATATATATATATATATATATATATATATATTCGTATTATTATTATTTTATGTATGAGTATATATATATATATATATATATATATATATATATATATATAGAGCTATTTTTAATATTTTGAAATATATTGAATATGGCCAAAATTGTAGCATTTCAAATATATGTCAATATGTTTGGGAATAATATTTTAAAAATATATTTGCTTGAGGTTATTGTAGTCGTATTAGTGCATTTGCGACAGGAACGATTGAGTACTGTCCGTGATACTTTTTTATTTGCACTAACATACAATTTTGAGGACAAGCTTTCAGGGAATGTCCCCTTCTTCAGGTCTAAGCAGTACTATAATATATTTCAAATATATATTTTTCTTCTATATAGGGGGACAGACATAACTGAGATAGCCAATGTGTTTTTTGGGGTCCAAACAATGTTCCCCCTTTAACCGTTTCAATACCGTGCAATTTTACACCTTCCTGCCCAGGCCATTTTTCAGGTTTCAGCGCTCTCACACTTTGAATGACAATTGCGCGGTCATACAACACTGTACCCAAACTAAAAATTTTATCATTTTCTTCACACAACTAGAGCTTTCTTTTGGTGGTATTTAATCACCACTGGGGGTTTTTATTTTTTGCTAAATTAACAAAAAAGACCAAAAATTTTGAAAAAAAAAACACATTTTTTTTTGTTCTGTTATAAAAGTTTACAAATAAATAATTGTTCTTCATAAATTTAGGCCGAGATGTATTCTGCTACATGTCTTTGGTGAAAATATCCCAAATTAGGATGTATTTTTTAGTTTTTAGGAAAGTTATAGAGTTCACAAACTATGGTATAGATCTGAAAAATTGATCAATCCTGAAGTACTGACTGCCAATCTAATTTCTTGAGGTCCAAGAATGTCAGAATAGTACAGATATCCATAAAATAACCCCTTTTTGCAGAGTAGACAGTCCGACGTATTTCATAAGAGGAATGGCGAGTTTTTTGAAGTTGTATTTTTTTTTGTCATAATTTTTCGGAAAAATGAAAAAATGAAAAAAATTATTTTCACTATTTTTTTTTTTTTACATACTGTCACCAGTGCAGTACAGCGTCATCATATAACTGGCATGGCGGTGAACAGGGACACTGACTGGTGACAGTATGAAAAAAAAATATATATATATATTTCTTTTTCATTTTGTTTTATTTTTTTTTATTATATTTAATTTTTTATTACATTTTTTTTTTATTTTTTTTAAGATTTTTTTTTTCATATTTTGCTATGACCAAAATAGTACAATGTTACCATAGTAACATTGTACTACTTTGGGGAAGTGATCAGTATTTTTTTTTTTTTACACAATTTGCTTATAGCAAATAATTACTTTGCTATAAGCAAGCATTTACCTGAATGAAATCGATTCATTCAGTTTTTTTTTTTTTTTTTTTTTGTGCTTAGCTGTGATTTGGTCACAGCTAATCACATGACATGTGCATGTGATTAGCTGTGACCATTCACAGCTAGGCACTAGTATACAATGGATGGCATCATGAATGAAGCCATCCATTGTATACAACTGTCATGTGACCTGCTGTGATTGGTCACAGCAGGTCACATGGTACCAGCAACGGGAGCCGGTACTCGGATCTGTCATCGGCCGTGTCCGAGGTGCACGGCCGATGACAGATCGCACTGCTGCACCGCTCTGCACTAGCGCAAACGGCGCATGTGCGGGAGCACGCCAAATGGCGTGCACCCGGAATGCAGATACACATCTGAAGCCGCCAAACGGCCATTGGCCGGGCGGCTAATGGTTAAAGCCCTAATGAAAGGGGGTTTCTTCAGGGCTTGGAATAGAAAACAATGTGTGTGGACTAGAAGATAACTGGACTTTTAATTTGTATTTCTTCCAGTGTGATTATATGCATAGGTTTTGTCAGCAAGTGCTTTGACAGCTTGTGGCCCCTGAAACGCGTTGATACTTTTTCGATTGTCCATCTGATCCTCACTGGAACAGAGTCGTGTCTTTACCCTTTAGCAGTTGTGTGAAGCTTCCAATCACATTTTTGTCACATTACACGACAAGCCAAGGAAACGGAGAAGATCCTTTGTAGAAGCCACCTGCCCAGGAACCTTTTTTTATAATCCACATAATTACATGAAGAAAGAAGAGCAATACCAAGGTGACCTCATGGATCCAGCTCTATTATTGTTTAAGTCACTATTTTACTGAAATAATAATATATATTTTATGGGTTTTTGTTTGCTTGTTTTTTTATACAAAGGAATGACTTTTCCTTCCCTTTAATGTTTCAGGAGACAATTTATAAAAAGGACGTAGTGGTATTTACACCGATTTTT